GGCGCTGTTCAGCCATTTTCTTTGCTATTTTTTTGGAACCTTTAAAATATCAAATTTTTCACCAGGCCTGACAAGTTTGCAAAATATTGTGAGTTTTGGGGTATGTTAAGGTCCCCAAAAAGCCATTCAAAGCGGCACCGGAATAATAAAGAAAGAAAGAAAGAAAGAAAGAAAGAAAGAAAGAAAGAAAGAAAGAAAGAAAGAAAGAAAGAAAGAAAGAAAGAAAGAAAGAAAGAAAGAAAGAAAGAAAGAAAGAAAGAAAGAATAATCTGAGCAAAAACAAGAGGCCTTCGCAGCGCTTTCGCTGCTCGGGCCTAATTAAGATTTAAGTGTCAGGCGTGACATTAAAAGCAGACGCTTTGATGCTCCACCTGAGAGTAAATCTGTAAGGCTTGTCACCAGCATTTAGACATCAATTCTGTTTGCTTCACAGCCAGACGGGACACGAAAAAAAAAGGAATGAATGCCTTGTACGTTTTTCACTGGTGGGGGGGGGGGGGGGGGGGGGGGGTGGTACTGGTGCACCATTTCTGCAACCGAAAGTTACCCACATCACAGCTGAGTTTCAGACGCCAGGTTTTGGAGTCAAAGTTTGTGATACTTTGAAATCTCGCCCCATGGAATACACCTCATCAACACACACAAGACTGTATTCCAGTAGGCGGAGGGAGACCAGGGTTCTTAGTACACCTCTGTTGTCACTTGGCTTCCCGGGGCTGGAGGCTATGAGGGGGAGCTGGCTGTCTTGTTGGGGTCTGGGGTGGTGGGATGCTTTGCTCAGCGTTGGGCAGGGGAGCTGCTCATCATCACCCCAGCAGAAAGGGGCGAACTCTGGGAACCGGTGATGGTTGTACCCCTTGTGCAGCAGTACCGGGACCAGAGTGAATAGGGTGTATATGGGGAGCGTGAGTGGGTGTCTAGCGTTCATTTTTGTAAATCTCAGGTTATATGTGCATGTGTGAGCATGAGGGAGGGAGTGTGTGACTGCTTGTGTATGACTGTATATGTCAGGCGGGGTCTTGGACTCCTCCCCTGTCCTGTGACTTCTTGTGCTACTACACATCTTCGCCTCCCCTCCCCCTGCCACATTTGGTGTGGAGTGTGGTGCCTTGGTCTGCCTGAGTGTTTGCAGCTCCCGCGTCAGGGGGTTTAAGATTTTTGGCGTCTGCCTGATTGATCCCTGTGGCTGCCTGGTGGAATTTGAGTCCCTGGGCTCTGTTGGGTCCCCGGCGGGGCTGGTCGCCCCTGGGTCCCGGGTCGCTGGGTTCCGGGCGCTCGGCCGGCTTGGGGGTGGGAGGCTGCGGGCGGGCCTGTGGGCTTGCCGCTGATATCTCCCGGGACTCTGCCGGCTGCTGGTTGTGATCCCCCGGGGCAATCCTCTTCACCTCTCAAGAGGGGGCTGGGGCTTTTCTGGTTACAATCTCCCTGGGGTCCCTGCGCTCTGGGGCAGTTCCTGGATCTCTGGGACTTGGAGCTCCTTCCATCTCCTACTATAACGTCCAGAAATGGTCAGTTGTCACCTACAGATTGACCTACATGCCACCGGTCATCTACAGACATAATTTCCATTCTCTAAGGTGGATTTTACATTCTACCTTCCAACAAGCCCAGAAGGTTCTGCAGCTCGGAACACATGATAATGTATTGTCAACAAACTGTTCCCGATTCAAGGCCTAAGCTTCCCTTATCGCTTCTACCCTTTTTGAACCCAGATTGGTAAGTTTTGTGAGAGGTATTCTGTGATCTGCTTGAAAGCCACCCTTTCAATGATTTTGTACAGAAAAGAAAGGAGAGAGATAGGTCGGTAGTTCTCCACATGATTTGGAGGAAAAGATGTTTTTTTTTAGCAGCGGTTTAACCTGAGCATGCTTGGGAGAGGTGGGAAATGTACCAGATGTCAGTGAAGCATTGATCACATGTGTGACTGCTGCGGCTACTGTAGGAGCAATAGCTTGGAGCAGCTTAGTCGGAATGGGGTCAAGTGGGCATGTAGTAGGGCGGCTGCACGTGAGAAGCTTGGACACACAGTTCTCACTGAGAGGGGAAAGAAGAAGAAGAAGAAGAAGAAGAAGAAGAAGAAGAAGAAGAAGAAGAAGAAGAAGAAGAAGAAGAAGAAAAAGAAGAAGAAGAAGAAGAAGAAGAAGAAGTAAGGATAATTTCTATAGCGCCTCTCAAGATAAAAATCACGAGGCATTTCACAAAAACAAAAAATGTAAAAATATAAAAAAGCATTTAGAAAATGTTTAAAAAATATTTAAAATGAGCAAAAATAGACAATTGTGATTAAAAGCAATGTTAAGAAAGAGAGAGTGAACAGGAAAGAGGGAAATCAGTGGATCCTGAGGAAGGTGGAATAGGTGGGGAGAGCAGAATAAAGAGAGAGTGGTGAAGAAGGTCATACAAAATCCAGCTTGAACAAGTGAGTCTTCAGCTGCTTTTTAAAGGAGACCACTGAGTCCACTGATCTCAGGCTCAGGGAGAGAGAGGTCCAGAGTCTGGGGGCCACAGCAGCAGATGATCTGTCACCTTTGACCTTTAGCCTGGTGCGCTGCACAACCAGTAGACTTTGATCACTGGACCTCAGGGACCTGCTGGGGGTGTAGGGACTAAGAAGATCACCCATGTAAGATGGTGCTTGTCCTTGTAAGGCCCTATAGACCAGAACCAGGATCTTGAAATGAACCCTGAAGTTGACTGGCAGCCAGTGAAGCTGGAGGAGAAGCAGGGTGATGTGGGTGTGTTTGGAGGACTTGGTCAGAAGCCGAGCACAGGTGTTCTAAACCACCTGTAGACGGTTCAGGGAGGTTCTGCTCAGACACGTGAAAAGAGAGTTACAGTAGTCTAAGCGTGAGGAGATGAAGGTGTGGAGAACTGTCTCAAGTTCAGAGCGAGACAGAATGGGACTCAGCTTAGCAATGTTCCTGAGCTGGAAGAAGGAAGAGCAAAAAAGAGGGAAATGAAGCAGTAGGGCCTGAGATGGTTGGGCTAGAAGGAGTTTGTGGTAGCGAATGTTCAGGAGTGGCCATTTGAGTCAACTGTTTGCTTATAGCTGCCACTTTGTCAGTGAAGAATGAGGCAAAGGTGTCAGCCGATAGATTGTTGGTAGGAGGTGGAGATGGAGGGGTGAGCAGAGTTTTGAATGTTGAAAATAGTTTCTGAGAGTCAGTAGAGCTGAGAATTTTGTCAGTGTAGAAAGTTTTCTTTGCATCAGTGATGCTGGCAGAAAATGAGGACAGTAATTCATGAAATTTCAATTGATCACCAGGATTTTTTGTTTTGCGCCATTTCCGTTCCGCAGCTCTAAGATTGGTGCGTAGAGACCAGAGGGTATCATTTAGCCAAGGGTGCGACTGAGAGGATCTAGCAGGTCTAGTGGCTAAAGGGCACAAGTTGTTAAGCCTTGTGTGTGTGATGGGGGGGGGGGGGGGGGGGGGGGGGGGGGGATCTGTACATGTGCCAGTCATCCATTCTATGTATTTTTTTTTTGTTGGAGACAATCTTGGACATGGATGGAGCTGCACAGCCTCATGAATTGATTTACATTGATGAGGCTGGCTTCAACCTCACTAAAAATAGACGACGGGGTCGTAATAAAATTGGCCATAGGGCAATTGTGCATGTCCCGGGGCAGCGTGGGGGAAACATCACAATGTGTGCCGCCATATGCCTTCAAGGGCTACTACATCATCATGCCAATCTAGGTCCCTACAATACCCAACAAATACTCACATTTCTAGATGCACTTCATGATGCAGTTGTATGGGACAGACCAGAGCAGCCCAGGTTTGTTGTTGTCTGGGATAATGTAAGTTTCCACTGGGCAGCTCTGGTCCGGAACTGGTTCACCAACCATGATCAATTTGAAGTTGTTTACTTGCCCCTTACTCGACAATCATAAACCCAATCGAGGATTTTTTTTCCGCTTGGAGATGACGCGTGTATGACCACCAGCCACATGCCCGCAAGCCTCTTTGTCAGGCAATGGAAGAGGCATGCGGAGATATTGAGGTAATATCAATCCATGGATGGATTCACCACACAACGAGCTATTTTCCCTGTTTCTTAGCAGGAGAAAATATTGCTTGTGATGTTGACGAGATCATGTGGCCAGACCCAAACAGACGGCGGGATCCATAATCCCACTCACGCACAATTGCCTAGTTTTTTCTTTACAGTAGTGTGTTTTTTGTTACTGCATGTACAGTACTGTACTGTACAGTATACTGTAAATGGCCTGTATTTGATATAGCGCCTTCTAGAGTCCTGGAACCCCCCAAGGTGCTTAACAACACAATCAGTCATTCACCCATTCACACACACATTCACACACTGGTGGGGATGAACTATAATGTAGCCACAGCTGCCCTGGGGCGCACTGACAGAGGAGAGGCTGTCGAGCACTGGCGCCACCAGTCCCTCCGACCACCACCAGCAGGCAACGTGGGTTAAGTGTCTTGCCCAAGGACACAAGGACAGCGACAGACTGAGCGGGGCTCAAACCTGCAACCTACCGATTACGGGCACTTAACTGGCACTTAACTCCTGTGCCACCGTCGCCCCTGTAGTACTAGGATGTGCAGTATTGAGTTGATATTGTTTGTAACCTTTCAGTACATTCATTTTGGATTGTTGGAGAAACCTTTGTTTTGAACAAATCAGTGTTCCATTGAGCTTCACAGTAAGCTAACTGATGAACAGAATAAAAACAGTGAGAATGAAAGACTGCATTGTTTTATATAAAGTACCCTAGTGTGTTGCTTCCAATCTGTGAGTATATTCGCATGATGCAAGTGTGAATCAATTTGTCGTCAGAGTTTCATTTTGACAAAGAAATGTTAAGTTTTGATAGCAGAGTTTAGGTTTTGATAGTCGAATTTCAATTTGACGCAGATGTGAATGGTATATTTCCCAGTGTCGTGTTGTGTTTACTTGTGTGTAGAGTTTTGGCACGATGAGCCAAGTTTTGCAAAATGTGTTCAAGCAATGGGCAAAAACTGTAATACCCTGAAACTAAAATAACTTTATTTTCATCTTTTATCTCTGTACAGTTCTAACTATTCCAGTGACAATAATAATGTTGAAAAAAAACTGATAGTAACAGGGGAATGTTAATCTGCTGCAGAAATTCTTAATGCAACAAATATTGGCAGTAAATCCTGTGATATTTGTTTTCTCCAGACGAGCAGAAAAAGAAAACAAACAAATCATCGTGAAGCATTTTTATGTTTTTAAGCTAAATGTAACGATTCTCACCAAGTTAAAAGGAATAGAATAGTTCTAATTAAACGCTCAAAGTATTTTTTCATTTAATTCTATGACACTTGGATTTTTACTTTTCAGAAGAACAAATCTAAAAGGCAGCATTTAGCAAAAACATGCATTGGAAACGTTCAGACTAAAAGATGTGTCAGTTTTGAACACTTTTACAGGGATGCTAAGCAGTTTTGGTTGCTTTTTGCTGCCTATAGTGTCTGGTATTAATTATCTGTGGTCGAAGCAAAAGGGAAACGTATCTCCTCGCCGTGCGTTCGTCTTTTTAACATCTTAATTTAACAGCTGAAATGTCTCCTTAGCCTTCATTAGTAGATGGGTGATTCTTCACTAAATCAAACAAATCGGCTGCGTTCATGATCTAAAAAAGGCAGAAAATGTGCTGGAAGCAGACTGCAGTCCCAGGTATGTAAGCTCGTTATTTTCTTCTTCTAACAGGTGGTGGCCCGGCACTCTGAAGTTGCAAAAAACGATATTCTGGCCACAGAATACATTCCATTAACCATGTGAAGGGTCATTTTAGCACATGCAAGCTCAAGAAAATGATTAAAAAATATGAAAAAGTTACATATTTTCTTTTTAATAGCTTTAAATCACCAAGTCTCTATGACCCAACACTAACAGCCCTGAGTGGGTGAGCTGGTTAAGTTAGTATGATCTCTTTTCGAGTTTGATTATGATGCCCTGCTCTGGTCGTAGGATGAGCTCGCCTACGGGACGAAGTTCTTCTCGGTTCTGACAAGCTTCAACGTTGAAGTTGCGAAGAATTGATGCCAGAACCACTTTTTCCTCCATTTGTGCAAAGCGTTGACCTAAACATAAACACACAACACTGATTGTAAGACACAATACAACTGATATTAGTAGGTTTAAAAGTGAAGAACAGCTCCAGTAACAAAACAATGTCCAACTCTCCAGGTACCTATGCAGTTTCGTAGCCCAGCTGAAAAAGGGACATATGCATATGGAGGCCTTCCAGCTGAGTTCTCAGGAACGAACCGATCAGGTCGGAACTCCTCGGGCTCTGGGAAGTAGCGCTGATCACGATGAAGAGAGTACGTGACGATGATTGCATTTGCGCCTTTGGGAACCTTGAAACCATCTACAAACATTTTAAAAATCTGCTTTATTTTCTTACTATTTCTCTTTATTTGGCAAAGGTTGAAGTTTGCTATCAAAGAATATAAAGGGAAAAAAGACAACAGTGGTACCAACTCATCCATCAAGTTCAGAAACAGACACATTGTGATTTTATGCAGCGTGTGAGCAAAAAGAGCACCTCTTTCCAAAATATACTGAAAGAGTGATCTGCAAAATGTTAAAGGTCTTAGTTTAAGTAAATTTAAAATGTTCTTGTTCATCTTTTCCCCCTGCCATCCTTATCAGCAAATTTTTATAAATAAAACATATGAAAGCTATTTTTTCTAACAGTATTAACAGTTTTCTTTGTCATTACTTTTATGTTTTACAGCCACAAAGGCTTTTACAACTTTAGATTTAGGTATTCAGCACTTAGTGAAAGAACAAACTTACAGCATTACTTGTTTAACTCTCCCACTGTCCTAATGGGTGACCCCGCAAGGAAAGTTGACCATTGAGCAGGATTGATGGTTTATCCCTTGAGGTCCATGTGGCAGGGGTGAGGTGGTGCTCACTCCTCACCCCTGCCACGTGGACCTCAAGGGATAAACCATCAATCCTGTTAAAAAAGCAGGAGATACCAGAATGCCTGTATAAAAATATCCATTTACATCTTATATCTAAACTCCTGCACACTCCACCATAGGGGGTTTACATCCAAAAAACAATCAATTGATTCATCTTTCTGCCTGTAACTCACTGAAATGGCAATCATCACAGAGGCTTCGAGCAAAGAAAGGCACTGAGGGAAACAGTCGCAGGGCCTCCTTGATCACACAATCCAGGTATTTGAGCTTCTTCAGGTCCTCCATGGTTATGGATCGACTAGATGTACCTATGAACATTAGCAAACATATTAACTGTCCACTCTTGACTTTTTTTCTTTAGCAGATAAGAATCAAACAGCCAACAGTCTGCCATATTAAATTGGAAAAATAATTTAAATATAACAGATTGAAATAATCATTTGGGTTTAAATTGAAAATAATTACAACGTCATTAATTCTTCTGTACTTATGGACAGGTTTGTGTCTTTAAGCTGGTCCTATAAATGAACATTTCCTGCTAGCTTAGAAGGCTATGTTATTCATGCTGCAGAAAGTGAATGGATTCAGTGGTTAAATATTCCTCACAGCAATCCAAACGAAAACTTGGATTTGTAAAAGAAACCTTGTGTTTAAAGTACAAAAACAGCCTGTATTCATGTTACCGAACACCTCCTGAAGCTCTTGTTGGACTTTTTGTTGCACGTCGGGGTGTGTACCCAGAAGATGTAGAGCCCAGTTCATTGCAGCAGCTGTGGTGTCATGACCCTGCAACGAGAAGCTTACCTGAAGCATGACTCCATGCATAGTTCACAACATTTAATATTTACCCTACCAACCTCAAACATAAACGTGTCCACCTCCTCCTGAATGTCCTGATGGCTCAACTTGTTGCCGCTATCGTCTGTGGTCTTCAAGAGCATGTCCAGAAAAGCCTGTCGCTTCTTCCTGCCGAGGTCAGAGTCGCTGGCTGAGTTTCTGTAGGACATGCTCTCTGATCGCTCATGTATCACCTGAGCACAGATGAGTTTAGGGATGCTGCTATGAATGTTATATAATTAGGGCATCTGTGATTTCATAACTCACTTTCTGTGTAAAGGAGTGCAGGATCTTAAGGTTTTTGTCATGCTCCTTGCCCTTGCCAAAGTGGTAATACGCAAAATCAGGCCAAAACCAAGGCGTCCTCTGCCTGTGGCTGACAATGTCACTCATTCTGAGAATTTAAACAAAAAGCAACAAATATGAAACATATATGTCATACAGTCTAACACGACGCACAATATGATACCTTATGGAACAATATGATATGATGCAGTATTCATTTATCTGTCTGGGCTGCAGGGGTAGCAGCCTCAGCAGAGAGGCCCAAACTACCCTTTTCCCAGCAACCTCCACCCGCTCCACTAACAGGATCACACATGATCACATCATTTTCTTTGGCTTGCCAGAATTTGGTTGTTTGTAAAACTAAAAAAATTACTTACTTGTACACACTCTTCACATACTCGGATTCTGAATCCCTCTGTGCATATATTTTCTTTCCCATTGCAGTTTCTAAAACAAGAACACAATGCTTTCCTCCGTTAGGATGCTTTAATTTAATCTATATTGAATGTCAAAACAAAAGCTTCCTGGGATGAGGGGGTTGCGGGTAGGGCCTATTTTGGGATGAAGCGCCTGGTGGGTGGCCCCGGGACAGGATTTGCTTGTAGGAGGAGGGACTCCGTGGTCTTGAACCAGTTGGGGTTGGGTCATGGTAGGGAAGTTGGGAAGCACACGGATGGTAACTGTGACTGCAGCAAGCTGGAAAAGGTGGGTCATGTCCTGCTGCACAGATGGAGGTCGGTTCTGAGTTTTGGGGGCTGCTGGTGTGACCGTGTTCAATTAGAGGACCTTATTGAAGTTGGAGAACTGGTGTAAGGCGAGGGCACTGCTGGACTTCCTGCAAGCTAAAAAGCTAAAAAGATGTATGAGAGTCTGTAACGTTGGCTGTTTGGTGTGCTAACGCTGCTATGGAAGCAAAAAGCCTCATAGGTTAGGGTTAGGGTTGGGTTAGTTTTTATTTTGACAACACCTTTAGTCAAGCTATCATGGGTTATAAAGAGCAAACATTTCTGACTAGTTTTGTGGGAGGAAAAAAAATTAATAACCAGTCTGTGACTTCATCTACCACGTGATGCTTGCAAACACTGGTCCAAAACCATCTTACATTCTATGGGATTAAACAGCTAGAATATGGGGGTGGGGGGGGGGGGGGGGGGTGGTGGTGGGTGGGTGTGGGAGGGGGATTTGTGGGGGTGGGGGTGGGGGGGGGGGGCTTGAACCATCAGCTTACCACAGATGATGTCTAAAGCACAAAGGGTGATATCACTGAAACAGTTGAATGGACCTTTCCCAGCCTTCTTCTCCAGCTTTTCCACCAAAATTTCGGCCTGCTCGTTCATCACTTGCAAAAAGTCCGTCAGAATGGAAAAGTGGAAGGTCGGCGTCAGTATTTTCCTCCTCTGCCGCCACTTTGTTCCAGTGCTAATCAAAAACAAACAGGCCTTGTAGAAATGTTCTTATCTGGACCAGTGATCACCTGACACAAAGAAGTCCCGTGCTTGCTTTAGTTAAAGAATGGACTTTAAAATAGTTTTAATGATTTTTTTTTTCAGTTTCAACTTCAAAGTCGCATCGTATTTGTACCACTATAATATTGAGTCAGCAGATCAATACAGTTACTAACATGTGATCAGTGCCTATTTAATGGTACAGTTGTATTATAGTGTTCCATCTGAATATATTTCTGATCAATTTTATTGAGATTTCTGATTTTCCTCATGCATGTCCTAAAATTTCACCCTGGGGAAAAACATATGTGTACCTGGTTAGAAGACCAGTTCCAAGCCATGGGTGAAGAAATTTATATGCAAAGGCCTTGTCCAGGTGAATGGGGTTACTCAGAACTTTCTGCAAATGAGATCAGTAGTTTAACATGAATGAATCCTAAATCATTTCAGTTAGCTTTTATTTAGACTGAGAATAAACTTTGATTTCAGAGCTTTGCTGAACTCTAAACACAGACTGTAAATGGTGTTCAAATGTGAATTACAGAAAAGGTCACTGTAGACATTTGATTTGCTACATTTTAAAAAGAACATAGGTATTGCATTTACGGCTGGGATGGCAAACAGCCAGGAAGTCCAGACTGTAGCAGTAGGATTTTGCTCTGAAGGTCAGTCTAGCCGCACCCAGGCTTTTCTTGCACAAACATAACACGTTTAATGTACCACGTTTGAATAAAGGAGGGTGAAAGGTTCATTAGTTTTTAGTCTTTTATAGACCGTCTTCACCTTCTCTTATATTAGTGCCATAAATGTGCAGCTAGTAAACGTACCTCTACAGTTTCAGCGTGAAAGAGAACAACAAACGGAATTGGTCCAACCCAGATTTTAAACAGCGGTAAATGTCCAAACTCACGTGTTAATTCTATGATTTGACCAAAGAAATCTAAAGCAAGGTAAAAAAAGGAATATAAGATTAAAAATAGAGACCAGTCCAGTTTCTGTTGCAATGTCTATGTTTTCTTACCTCCTGCGTTGGTTTTGAACATCAGTGCATCTCCGATGAAGGGATATGTTCCTTCAATCCCTGGAATAGGCTTCATCTCATAATATTTGTGCAGGTAACTGCTCAGCATCTTGTAGGTGAAGTAGGTCACAGCTGCAATGACAATGCTTACGCCAAGAAAAGGTAAAGTATAACTGCCCAGTAAACCTGCCATGTTTGTTTCTTCTGCAGTGTGTGCATCCAGTTCAGTTTGAGTGTCCAGCTATCAGAACCAGGGTGCCCCTTATGTGCCCTTATTATTAACAGGTTATCTCTGCTGCTCCTCCCCTCAACAGCTAAGCTACTTTCAGGTTACTGGATAGATTTGAGTTATTCTGTTATGATGTACTCTGGAACACGTTAAATGCAAAATGGTAACAATAACAAATGCAAAGATCTTTTTATTGCTATGATGTGGATAAACAAAAGATAGTTTTGTTTGCTCAAATTATGTAATAAACATGTTAATCATTTATTATCTGGCACTGTAGCTGACTGCCCAGATTATGGACTTTGTCCAACCTGTTATCTTCTTGTGTAGACGCACATGAATGTTTTGTGCCATAGAAACCCCAACTGGTTAATATGTAGCATTCTTATCTTTTTTTTTCATTTATTATTAAAATAGAAGAAAAAAACAATACTAACAAACAAATTGAGGTCAAGAAAATGAAAAGGGAACAGAAAGAAGAAAACTTATGTTATCGGCCCCTTTTTAACTAAAATGACATGTTTACAATGAAATAACAATAATTATAAATTAACCTATGCAAAGTAAATCTTAGTCCCTCCTCCCATTAATTCTTCTGTTATACTGTAAAAGGTGGATTAAGTTAACAAAGGACGATTTTCCAATGACCTCAATAAATTAGAGTTTGATTTGGATGCATTTTTTTTTAGTTTATTGTAAAAATTCTGTCTAATAAATGTTTTGGTTGATACAGTTTGGTTGCTCAAAGTTAGTGCCCGCAGAACACATGTGGTCTGTGGAACCCCACGAACTGTGGGGGCCCCATTTTTTCTAAACGGAATGCATTCTCTGCAAATGAGTAAAGGATGCACATTAATACATATGTGCATGTATAAATTAAGAAAAAATAATCCCCACAACAAATTTTTAATGGAATAACGGCCCTCAGTGTTCATGCAAGGGACCGTGTCATCGGCAAAGAGAGCGCGGGCATATGGAACTAGGATTAGGACATTACATGTGTAGCGAAATGGTTGTTGGCTCTGTTATGAAAGATGAACCATTCTACATAATAATCTGGAATATTAATTTAACAAATTAATAACCAAATGTTATAGAGATAAGAAGACTCAAAGGTTGTTTTCATCGATAAACTGACGATCATATCCGTTTGTCTGTGTTTCAGTTCAATGAAAAGGCAAGTTTAAATTATAAGAGATTTATTTCTTCAATTTAAACTAACGATTTGAAATGACAATCTTAGGAAAAATAATCAACATTGGCAACCTTGTTGGCAATCTTTAATAGTTGATATTTTAAGCTTACTCAAATAGACCTTGTGTTGGATGTGCTAAGATTTGAGAATGATGTAATTATGAATGCGTGCATGCAGGTGTCTGAGATTGCTTCAGGGAGAGAAAAGGTGAACTGAGTGAAAAATGATGTTTTGCAATTAAACTTTAGTTCTTATTAGAAAAAACAGCATCAGAACGCTATCTTGTCGTGTTCTGCCTCACCGTACTTAGGACCCTCTTTTAGATCCGGACCTCGGAGGATGTGTCATCCAGATGCCACCTTGGCTGACAGAGAAGATGAAGGTGTGCGACGGTCCAGTCCAGATTTGACGTCGGTACACTTTGCTGAAGCGTTTAAGCAGATGCGCTTTCTCAAGTTTAAAATAACTCAGAAATCAAAAGACTCTGGGATGAGTCTGCGTTAGCGGGTTGCATTTCAGTTATTCTGTCTGACTTGACAGAAATAGCGTGGTGGGAGAAAGAAGCCGGCAGGGCTTCTTTCCCCGTGGCGTTCGTTCCGCACTTCCGCTCTCTTCCGTTCTCTCTCTCTCGTTCTGACTAACTTACCCAAAACACTTCTCTTCCCAAAGCAAACTTGTTGTGCGTCAGAGCAAATGTGTTTTGGAGTTACTGTGGAGTCGGACCTGTGTGAGCATGTGTGAAAGTCATTGCTAAACATCTTCAAAAACATTATTTAATTAAGTATACTGATTCATTATAGTTCATTATGATTACCTAAAGCATAATAATCATTCATTTGATCAAAATACATTTATAATGAGCAAAGTGATCAAATGGTTATTTAGCATTAATAAACAAAGAAAGCTTAAGACTGTTTTATTATGACTAGACTGTGTGTTGAAGTCCTTCTTCTGGAGATGCAGGTGTTGGATGTTGTGGAGTCCTTCAGACTTGCTGGCTGCTTAGGTCTTAATCTGTGGGTGAAGGTGCTGCGTGACCCAGCTTTGACCCAGCCGGGCAAATACGACCTTTGGCACAGAAACCCATACTTCCTCACGTTACACATGTAACTTGTACCAAGTTTTGTAACTTGCAACATGATTTGTAACTGTGACTTTCACTTTGTAGCATGTAACTTTCATTTTGTAACACGTAACTTTTGTTTTGTAACACATAACTTTTGTTTTGTAGCATGTAATCCTCATTTTGTATTATGTAGCTTCGATACGTAACATGAAACTTTAATTTTGTAACTTGCAAAAAAATTCAATTTAAGAGTTTCAAATCACATTTTTCAAAATACAAGTCTCAGTCTACAGTTACAAAACAGAAGTTTACAGTTACAAAACCTCAAGTCTACAAGTACAAAACATTTTGTCCCAATTCTAGCTTGCTTCCAAAAGAACCAATCAAAGGCTTTGTCTTATCAGTCAATCATGTGTCACGGTTTGCCTCCATCTACTGGTGAGGTGTGTCAGCTCTGCGTTTGCAGGAGGGCGTGGCAGTCATCTCAGCTGCTGGGAATTCCACTAATTGGAGGTGCAGTGGATTTAAGGAGTGGCGTGACTCAACCCCAGTGCCGGTTGATACTCTCACATGGGTAGCATCTAGCCTTGAATCCGCCTTTGTTCCTGTGATCCTGATCTAATGAAGTTTTGTGTCTCCTGTTCTAGTATCTTGTTCTGCACCACCTACCTTGCCTGGAGTTGTCACATGTCTCGTCACTCAAGGATCCTCTGGCCTCCTTTCTCCACTCCTGCCCATGCTCAGAACCATCTCACCAGTTCCAACCTCTTCCAGTTCGTCTCTGCTCTAATCCTGGTTTTGGACCGTAAGAACTTTTAGTTACAGACTCATACAGTATTCTCCTGGTTCTCTGGTTCTGGCCTCGCTTAACTTCTGTTTTTATCCTCTTAGATTCCGGTACCATCCTGTTCCTGTTCACAGAAGCAGCGCCCTTAGTTCTAGTTCTTTTTTCTGTTCACCTTAAAATAAAACATTTGTATTTTTTACTTACCTCTTGTGTGATTCTTCATGTCCTAGGTAAAGTACATTACCCACAACATGACAGAATCAACCGGCCAAATGAACACCCTCACTGAAGAATCACTCCCCGCAGCTCTAGCAAACACCTTATCCCATCATGAAGGTTCCATCCGTTCAGCCCTTGATCAGTTGTCAGTCGTTAATCAGCGTTTATTCCAGCTTGACTCCGTCCTACGACAGATAAACGAGAGACTTACACCGCCTCCTGCCGCTACTTCCGTAGCTTCATCTTCAGCTTCACTTCCGGTTCAGCAACACGGGGTGAGTTTCCGGGTTACGCAATCTCCTCAACCAGAAACATTATCTGGCGAACCAGGTAAATGCCGCTGTTTTCTGTTACTCTGTCAGTTGACTTTTGATAGATCACCTGATACTTTTATTAATGATATGGTTAAGATTTCTTACATCATCGGCCTGCTACGAGGTAGAGCCTTACAATGGGCCGAGGCTAGGAGTCGGCAACCTACCTTTTTTACAGGGACCTCTCTCAACATTCCTAGCCGGATTTAAACTCTTTGATCAGTCTGAATCACCAACAGAAATAGCTAAACAAATGTGGAGCCTCCAGCAGGGTAAACATTGAATTTCGCACTCTTGCTTCCATTTCCACATTAGATGAGCCTTCCCTTAGGGCCGCTTTTTCTCAAGCACTTAATGATAAAATCAAGGATCAATTAGCGTTTTGCCAAGAACCGGAGAACCTTGAGTCCCTGGTCCAGCTAGCCGCTAACATTGAGAAACGCCTTAAGGAGAGACACAAGATACAGACCTTCAGACCAGCCCCTGTTGATACTCCACAGCAACGATCTCACCACGCCCACCAACAACACTCCCCTCTGGCTCACCTAGAGGAAACTATGCAGATTGGACGAGCGCAATTAACCCCCGAGGAGAAGGCTAGACGTCGTTCACTAGGCCTCTGCTTGTACTGTGGTCAGCCGGGTCACTTGCTGCAAAATTGTCTGGTTCGGCCAAAAACCAGGGCCCATCAGTAGGACCGGGATTACTGATGGGTGGAGTTCCTGGTGCAGTTTAACTTGTACTGTTTCCTTCCACCAACAGACTTTTTCTACTCAGGCGCTCGTGGACTCTGGGTGTGAGAGGAGCGTCCTGGATCAAACAGTAGTACAACAGCTCAACATTCTTACTATACCTCTGTCTACTCCCATCCGCACTTCCTCGTTGGATGGTTGTTCACTCACAACTATAACACATTGCACTGTTCCCATAAACCTCCAAATCTCCGGTAACCATCATGAGACTTTGAGTTTTTACATTTTTCCTTCCCCCCCAGTCGCCAGTTGTGTTGGGCCATGAGTGGTTAGTTTTACATAACTCACAAATTGACTGGAAAACCGGGTTGGTGTCTGTCTGGAGTCCCTACTGTCTGTCTCACTGTCTCCTTTTAGCTCCGCTTTCTGCCCAGACCACCAATAACCCTCCTCAGGAACCACCCGATCTTACTGGAGTCCCTGCTGAGTGTCACAACCTTCACCAAGTGTTCAGTAAGGACCGAGTGTCCTCCCTACCTCCTCATCGCCCGTATGACTGTGGAATTGATCTCGTCCCGGATGCTATTATGTCTACCAGTAAGCTTTACAGTCTTTCTAAACCTGAACAGGCTTGCATGTCCGACTATATTTCAGAATCCCTAGCCTCAGGCATCATACGACCATCCACGTCTCCCCTGGGCGCCGGGTTTTTCTTCGTTTCTAAGAAAGACGGTTCGCTCCGCCCCTGTATCGACTACCGTAGTTTAAACCTTATCACCATTAAGAATAAGTATCCTCTGCCTCTGTTATCATCCACATTCGAACCCATAAATG